CAACCTGTAATGCAAAAGTCACTGGTGGTTTCACTTTAGACAACCACCTCGTATAGGGGAGTCGGAGAAAGGTTGTCCGCTTGTCTGTGAGTCCATGAGGCAGTGTGTTCGCATCAAAAACTCAAGAACTGTTGCACTTATAGCATTTAAATTTTGCACAAATAATTATGACACCATTAAAATTCTAGACGATTCCGCTTAGTAGTAATTATAAAACCCTGAAAAAACGTTTTTTTATTTGTCCCTTAAGAATAACATTAGAAAGAAGCTACCTTCTTCTTCTTTTTGTTTGTTTACGTTAGTTTGACGTCTATGAATATTTAACATTATAATTTCACAACTTTCAGAATAATAAATTGAACTTTACAATATTAGTCGGTGGTTATATAGGCCTACAGTTTATGTTCAGTATTAAAATTCTTTATCAAAAACATCTTTACATTAGGTACAAATATACATGTAGGCCTATATATTTAGTACTAAACTAAGCAGTTTTTTACTTAATTCAATTTAATGTTGGCATTGACTATTAAATAGTCAAAGATGTTAGTCTATTTTTATACTAAAATGCTATGGGAAGGGAGGGAAACAGGTTCACGAGGTAGGAAATGGTGAAGGAAGTAGTCAAATCGAGCAGTCCGGAGTGTGGGAACCCTTTGTGACGGTTAGATTAATGTATCTCTTCAATTATAATTTTAATTCGTTAATATTGATTTCGAGAAAAAAATCGGTACCTAATTATATCGACCTCCGGACCTCACGCGAAATTAAATTTTTTTTCTAAATGGTCGAAATTTCACGCTGATTTCAAAAATGATTGACGTTTTTTTCGGAAACGTCCCGTTTTCCGGAAAATGGGGAAAAACGGGAAAAATATTTTTTTGCTCAAAACCCATGTTGTGGGTACTCAAATTGTGCGGAATTTCATCCTGAACAAGAATATGTCGTTTTTATTATGATCCCTTTTAAGTAAAACATCACCGGACAGGTTAACTAACCTAACATAACCTAACTTAGGTTTAGATTAGGTTAGGATAGGTTAGTTTAGTTTAGTTAGGTAAGTTATTGGATATAGGATACTGTTGTATCAATAGTCAAAGGTTTTGTTTTATGCTTTAGGCTATTTCTATCCAGATATGATTATTTTTAATTTGTTTGCTAAACATCATTAAATTACTTTATGGTTGTAAAAATAATTTAGGCCCTACTTCATTCCATTACTCACCCAACTAAGTTTGTTTTTCTACTAGGCCTATCTTTATCTTCCCTCCATTATACTGTATTATTAATTTGTGTGTGTTAACCACATTGAACAGTAGTCAAAATCATTTGAACGCACATAAGTTATAACCACACACACTTAACCTAACTAATTTAAATTTATCACCTCATTCAACTGCAACTCATCTCTCCACTCCATCCAACTAATTCCAAGTAAATTTCACCATACCATCTCAAAAATTGTATGAATAATGCCAATTTGCCAAATCAATGAAAATAATAACTACTCTATCATCGGCAGTACGGCAGTGTTATTACTGTTATTATTTACCATTTACCTAATAATATTTATTCAAAATAAACAGCCACTGCTGCCAGTGCTGGTTTGGTTTGGTGATTAGGGAGTTGGTTAAGAGACAGCAGCAGGCAGACGACACGACAGGACAACTATCGAATACCCGTTACCCGAGTAACGACATCGCTGTCACAGTGGTTAAGTTCCCGCAAGGCTCAAGGGACGGTGCGTGCGTGACGTCGAGTCCTTGGAGGCTAGTGGTGGTCATCTTGGATAATTTCAAACAGCCGCTGAAGGGTTATTTACTGTCCAAAAATATTTTTTTCAAATACCAAAGTGATCAGAATTTAAATATCTAGTGTACTGTGGGATTAGAAATGTTCTTTGTAGTTTTGAATTGTTCTCCAAGGAAGTCCATGGAAGCTCCAAAACAGAAATCAAATCTTTCCTGACAAAAAATTGTTTTTATGATGTGGAAGATTTTCTAAATTTCACAATACAGAGCCCTTTGGCCTAGAATGTTATTTTTTTTATCAGTTATTTTTTATTATTACTATACATAACCTATTGACCTGTCCAATTCCTGCCCTGGACTACGGACGGAAACTACAAGTATGCAAGTAAGTAAGTATGCTAGCGGCCATCTTGGATTTGCCCGCCATAAGAGCAATGTTTATTTATTTATTTATTTCCCAACGGATTGCACCATTTTACAAAATATGTGTTTACAATATGAGATGGCATTTGCAATAGTACTAACTAGAAAAGTAATAACAATGGTAATAACAAAGTGATAATAAATAGTAATAGCAAGTAATAACAAATATTAATAACAGAAGAATAAACTAAAAGAGTAAAGAGTAACAACAAAGAATATAAACAGCAGGTTTCAACGATGACAAGACAAATATGCAGATGTGCTGGAGTGTGGTTACTCAAGTGATCAGGGAGACCCTTTTGAACGGGAGGGGCTTCTCACAGAAGAAGTCCAGTTGAGCAGCCACCGTGCTACCAGCCTTGAGTAGATGGCAAATTCCGCTGTTGTAGGAATAGTAGGCTGGGAGAAAGCGTCTGCTGAATAGTCTTGGAACGTGTGCCTCTGGGCGTGGTAATGTCGATACCACTCAGGATGTTAGGGCAATCGACAAACCCGTTAACCAGCTTGTAGAGCATGATTATGTCGGCATGATGACGTTGGAGTGACAAAGGTAGAAGATCGAAAGACTTCTCCACATACATCGTCAACCGTGGTAGTGCGGTAGGTAAAACCATAGATTAAACATACTCAGTATGTTTAATCTATGGTAAAACCAAGTCTCGGTCCAAGCATCCGTATGAAGCGGGTTTGTATGCTCTCCAGTTGGCTGACGTGGTTCCTCTGGAAGGGAGACCAGATGATAGACCCATACAGGTTAATTAGGTTAATTTCAAACAGCCACTGAGGAGTTATATTTACCATCTCAAAATATTTTTCCAAACACCAGTGTGATTGTAAACTAGTACTGTGAGATTATAAATTTTATTTGTATTTTATTAATTGCTTAACGAGTAAGAACGTCAAAATACGGTACGGTGAAATATATACAATGAATTGTCAAATAAAAATAACTATATTTTGGAAGAGCTCTATTTGTAAGCTAGATGGTTATCTAGCTTACAAATAGAGCTAAATGGTTATCTAGCTTACAAATAGAGCTAGATGGTTATCTAGCTTACAAATAGAGCTCTTCCAAAATATAGTTATTTTTATTTGACAATTCATTGTATATATTTCTCCATCTCCACTTTTAGGGTAGGTAACAAGAAGCTTCATACCATACTCATAGTTTCATTCCATACTAAATATTTTGTAACTTGGCCTTATTTATAAAAGATTTTATTGACTTCGCTTAAAATGTACAGATCTAGATTTTTAATTCATATTTTGTTTCGGTTTTCAATTTTGTATGTTTTATTTTCAATACGGTAGTTTAATAAATTTATGTTCATAAATATAAATCTAAATCAATAAAGTACAAATTAATGAGCTGATGTCACCTGTCTGCCATGTTATCCTATGGGACGTATGTCACTAAACATACATACATACAGGTTCCTCTCCTCCGTAGTCTTGAAGACCAGGGAATTGTCAATTCTTGAGGTTGACAAACAACACCACTTGCGACGTTGCCAATTCTACCAGGACGCGGCCTGTAGTTAAAGGTGGCTGTGGGTAATCCCGCACTCAACTTCGTTGTGATACCACTAACCAGTACCACTAAAATGGACAAGGAATGGAACTGGAAAGTGTGAACGTCATGAAATTGTGACGCCTAGGCTACGTCACGGAGCGTCCCTTGAGCCTTGCCGGAACTCGACCCCACTAGATGGCCTTGTCGTCGTACGGGTCTGACTTAGGGGAGGTACGATTGAGGCATTAGTTAAAAATTCCTCCGTGAACAGCGCTGTAGTAGAGAGCATTTTTGCAATTAAGGTTAACTAATCGCAAAAACAGTTCTGTTCATAAAATAAAATTATAAATGCCTCAAATTGAATTTTATAATTTTTTGTATTATATAATTACTATCATAACCCAACCGAACTAACCAAACTTGCTGATAATGAAATAATATAAAAAAGTTTATTAATAAAAAAAATAATTCTGTTCATTAAATAAAACTAGAAATTGCTCAATTAAAATTTTATAAAGACTTAATAATAAAATTAAACTGTCATAACCGAACCGAACCAACCAAACTTGCTGATAATGAAAAAATCTTAGTCAAGAAGTTAGTGCCAGCAGCGAGATTCGAACCCGGAACTCTCAGTAAACGAGCCCGGCACGCTAACCACTAGACCACCGAGGCCGTTATACTTATACAAACCGTATTGTTACGGTAATGGTGTTCCCTCAGCTAATGAGAAGCCCACAGCTGTCATCGTTAGCTCATCTATACCTCCCCTGAGTAAATACCCCGTCGTAGTCGTAGTCGTAGCCGTAGCTCAACAGCTCAACTCGTAACAGTCGTAACGTACGTACGTCACGTCACTCGTCCGTCGTCCCTTCGTCCGTCAGTCCGCCGTAGCTCAGTGGTCGTGGTCCGTCGTCTTGGGGTCTTGTCCTCGTCACTCTTCCTTCTAGTTCTAACTAAAGGGACGGGAGGGGGAGGAGAATGGAGATTGAGGTTAAGCTAAGTCTTAAATCGAATTTTTATAGTTCTAAGTTGAAACCTAGCTTATTCATAGAAATGGTTTGAGTTACAACTCGTGTTTCGTTGAGAAATCTTTGTTTCACTGCATAACGATGATTTCATTTAGTTATAAATTTAAAGCATAGGCCTAGTGAATACTCAACATGTCGCCAGTCAGGGATAGAGAATTCAAATTTAAGGCTTACAAATTAACCAGTAAATACAGAATGAACGATCGAAGTGGAAGTAGAGACAAGGATTCCAATGTGTGGCCTAAACCTAGGAGTGGGCACAGAATAGTTTGTGACAATGTGAATGTTTATTCATTTGGTGGTTATAACCCATCATTGTCCGCATGTGATGAAAGTGACCTACTCAGTGATAATGTTTGGTCAGATAGTAAGCCTTTATTTAAAGAATTGTGGAAATATAATATAGCCACAGGCATTTGGACGAAGATGGATGTTGAGCTTATACCGGACATTTTAGCTTCAAACGCTGTCCTTTTGAGTGGAAATATTTTGATGGTTTACGGTGGAACTGGAGTACCCTTTGGTGCCAATTGCAGTAATGACCTGTTCATTTGCGATCTTTCAAAAAGCAATGACCTTAAATTTGAAGTAATTGTTGCTCTAGGAAACAGTCCTCAGCCGCAATATGGTCAAGCGATTCTGTTAATTGATGACTACTTGTATACCATTGGTGGGACCACTGGCTTTCAATACTCTTGTGACATTCATCGCCTAAGCTTAAAGGATGCAATGTGGGAAGCTGTGTATACTTGTAAGGGAAGTGATATTGAACCAACAGGAAGATATAGACATGAGGTAGCATACTTTGAACAAAGGATATATTTACTTGGCGGTGGAACAGCTCATGAAGCTTTTGATTTTCAGGTAAGTTAGGGCCTGACTTAACTATTTTAGGCTAGGCTAGGGATGTTGCGATACTAGCGATACCAGTATGTATCAATACTTTTATTGCGGTACGGTAGGCCTACTGCTGGTATCGTATCGGTAACGGTCGTTCCGATATTTACTTGGTATCGATACCAAGAGGCCAGTAGCCTAGGCCTATCGTATCGGAAGGTGGTAATTTCTGACAAATCTGAGTAAAATGGCCACGCTCGCATCTTCTGAGCGGTTACCTGGACATGTTGAACATTCAAATTTAACCCATTGGGGAAGGAATTAATGCGCTACATGCAGCACCCTCTGGCGGCAATTAATTTTACCGAATTTGTAGACTTTTATTCTAACTGCTATAGAAAGAAAACCTTACGTAATAAATTAATAATTCTTTCACCATTTTGTTCACAGTAAAATTGTCTACAGAAAAGTTGTAATTGGATAGTCAAAGTTCTAAACTAAAAAAAAATATATATAAAAGATTATAGCCTAAAAATAAAAATTTTAAAAACTATATTTTGAAAGTAAACTTGATATACAAATTCCATGATTAATCCAGACACCAAATAACACTACTATTATAAAGTTCAATCGATTCCCTACGTAGAAAAATCAAAAGTTGTGTACTTAGTAATAACATTTTTTAAAAATTGTTTGTTTACCTTACCGCAGCTGATTTTTGGTGATATGTGGTTTCCATGGCAACACAAAATTGTTTGTTATTCGCTAAAATAAATTAGTAAATACGCAAATCAAGAAGCAAGATATTTATAAACATTATAATAGTAAGAAGAAACAAAAAGGGTGAAAAATAATAATAACTAAATAACTAATGGCGCTGCCTAGCGGTGACACGAGCGGAACTCGTAAGTCGGCCGCCGGGCCTGCAGCGGCCGTACGAGTAGGCTAACGCTCGTAAGTCAGCGCCAATGGGTTAAACCAGCTAAAATGTTGCAACAAAACAACTCACTTAGGCTATCTGTTAACAGCCAACAGTAGGCCTATAGGCCTACATAGAACAACATAGTATAAATAAAAGGTTGTTGTAAATGATTAATGAATAGATATATCTCTATTGTAAATTCTCATATGAATTCATCAATAATATTTTTCTATTATCTAAGATACCGTACTTAAGACAACCCACTTGAGACAAATTATAGTTCGGCCGCTTAGAAAACGACCTGCGCGCTAATGCTAAACCAATGCTGGAGGAGGTCGCTTTATAAGCGGCCGAACTATAGTCATTAGGCCTATTATAATGGATATCAAATCTGAATGTACCTATGTGTGTTTTAAAATGAATTTATTTGTATGAACCCATTATGATCCCACAAAATTCATACCATCATATAACTATACAAAGACTATTTGAGAATTTTTCAAAATGTTTGAAAAATTCTTATTCTTACATCTTATTCTTATTCTTATGATCCCACAAAATTCATACCATCATATAACTATACAAAGACTATTTGAGAATTTTTCAAAATGTTTGAAGTGACCAAAGATGTCCCCAAATTAATAACATAAATACCATCTGGCGGGAGTATTTTTAAAACTTGGTTTCCTGTTTTTTCAACTAACCTGTACAAATTTTCAATTTAAGCTTAATATGATATGCCCTCTACATTTTTCTAGACTGTTTTTGCATTCAACCTGACTACAAACACGTGGGAAAAGATGAACACGAGGCCTGACGACAAAGCGAGAGAAGTGTTTCCCTCCCGTCGCCGATGCCACAGTTGTGTTCAGCGAGACCACTTTGTTTTTATCATCGGTGGGTTCACAGGTCAGTTGATTCTCAAGGATATTTGGAGACTGGATCTGAAAAACTATCAGTGGGAGAAGCTTTCGAAAATGTCTCTAAACAGAGGAGTGTATTTCCATTCCTCTTGCCTAACTCCCAGCGGTAAAGTGATAACGTTTGGAGGAATCGTTCAGTCTGAGAACACCAGTGAAAGATCAGCTGACGTACACATGGCTTGGCTTTGCATACCGAAACTGAAAGAGATATGTTGGGAGGCAGTTATCTCGTACCATCGTGACTTGGACACTATGACAGAGGAACAACTTCATGCTCTGGGCCTGCCTCTGGAGTATATTAATAGGCTTGACTTAAAAAGGAAGATCAGAATGTAATTAATTTTTAACAATGATTTTTCAGTTCAAATAGACTACTTGAGTTCAAAGTTTCAATGAAATATTATTCTCACAATTTTCTGATTGTGATTTTTATTGGTTATAACTGTTAAAACCTGTTGAAACAAGTAAATTTAGTGATTAAAAATATCTACAAACCTGTCATTGAATACAGTTCTTTCACTAATTAGTAAGATAATGGATGCATTGTCAATAGGTAGGCTACTCTTCCAATACAGTAGACTCTCTTATCCAGGACATCGGTGTAACTGGACTAAACTCGGCAGAAGTGACATCTTTTTAACCATACAATTTTTATCAGAACACTGGTTTAACCGGACTGGATCGGTAGGAAGTGGGTGGTACTGAAACAACTTTTCTCGTGGTAGTGATTTGAGACCAGCGATCACGTGTGTACACAATGCTCTCCCAATATGATTGGGATAATTGGGTATAATATAATTTGGTTAGTTTTTGAGTTTCTGGTAAATTTGAGGAGACATCAATTTAACCGGAAAACCCGTTATCCGGATTGGCCTCGGTCCCGAGTCATCTGATAAAGGGAGTCTACTGTATATTTATGGCAGTCCTAACTACTCTTAAAATATATATTTTTTCTGTATTATCCATTTTAATAATTGAATAATTGTTATTTCTAAAAAGTTTGTGTTAAATACTGTACAAATCGTGTGGTTTTGCTAGATATATTTTATCTAAGTTATGTTTGTTGATATATTTTTGAATGTATTATAGTTGCTAATTAAATATAATTAATATATTTTATTGAAATTAGATGGTATGAATCTTTTATCTAAAAGTCTAAGGTAGCAATGCAACTTTAGAATTGATAAGGAATAATATTACGAATCGAGATGGGGACACTGACTAGGTTTGTAATTGAATACAAATATGAGTATAGAATGATAAAACTCTTTGTGTCTTTGTTTTTCTACTGACTAGGTCAGTTGTTTCATTAGCCAGGATCATTTGTCCAACCATCAGGTAGGCCAATAACTGGATCCGGTTTCAAACCATCAAACAGCTACTAACTTTTCTCATGATCTAACCGCCGACCTTTTGATTACTTTGTGAACACTATAACCACTATATTTCACCAACAACCCAGCTATATTTTATATAGAATATAATATTTTTCCTACAGTTACCTAACAATGTACATGTTCTCTCACTGATTTGAGAAAGCAAAGTGGCCAATTCGCTCATCAGTGAGACAAAGTTAACAATCTAATTACTAATTACTAATACTCTAATTACTTTGTCTCACTCCAGATTTGCAACGTGAAGGCACGAAATAGGGAGCGCGTAGTATGCAGGCAACGTCGTATGCGCGTGAAATACGTTGGCAGCACTGGCTGTAAATCAGCTGGTCAGCTGTTGTACTGTTGTATTTGTAACTTCACATTAAATGTTACATTAAAAGTTCACTTCTGTGTAAAAATAGGTTATGTTTCTTCACCAATTTATTTGTTTTATGGTAACTGTAGGAAAAGTATAATGTGCAACTCGAGTTCAAAGTATAATTGCCTCACTCGAGAAACCATTCCTCACTCGCCTACAGCTCGTGAGTAAGGATTTCTCTCGAGTGAGTCAATTGCTCACTTTTCTCACTAGTTGCACAAATAACTATAGACTGTACCCAATTGTAACCCCTCTTGTTGCAATAAAATAAAATATAATAAGTAAAAGTACCTACCACCAAGTATTTGGTGCCTGTCTTGTTTAATGATGGTTACTAGTTCAATCCCATCCCTTTGTGTTTGGATGACAAGTTGTTAGCTGTTGATAAAAAAAACCGACTTAAATTTTCTTGGACTGGCTCGGAACAATTGTATTTTTGAAGCTGCTCATTAGTTGTATAACCACTGAAAAGACATAAAAATTAACAACAACATGTTGTGTAAAAATTGTTTTGTCCTAATGCTGCTGGCCTATTAAGCGTTAGGGACACATGAGGGTATTTTATTTTGTCAAGCTACTGTGCAAAAAACTGTGGATCATAAGTCCCGCACGGGCTTAATATTTTCTAAACGACAACAGATAAATCAATAAGATTTGGTACATCAACACCACACCTAAAAATCTACTTTTTCAAGGAACTATGAATTTTCTGTCATATCATGGGGACGTCTCGCAAGGAGTCAGAAGGAAATCTTAAATAGGAGCATAGGTCAATATGCACATCAAATGAAAGGTCTTTTTAGTAGAATACAATGTCGCAAAGCACACTTCAAAAGGTTGATCCTGCGCAAAATGGCGGCCATTCAAAGATTTCTTGAATCCGCCATTTTGAATCTTTAAACGACTGCCATTTTTTACTCAGGCGTTCTTTTGAGCTTGAATTTACGACATTGTAATCTACTAGTGAAGACCTTTAATTTGATGTGCATATCGACCTATGCTTACGTTAACAATTTTCTTACGATTCCTAGGGCTGTGCCCCCTGAGGAGTAAGCGTGTAATAGCAATGCAAATTAAATTAATCTTTGAACAACTGCCATTATTGGCTCGGTTGTCCGTTTGAGTTCAAATTTGCGGTATTATATTCTGCTAGTGCTAGTAAAGACCTTTAATTTGATGTACATGCCAACCTATGCTTCTATTTAAGATTTCCTTCTGACTCCTTGCGGGACGTCCCCATGATATGACAGAAAATTGATAGTTCCTTGTAAAAGTAGATTTTTAGGTGTGGTGTTGATGTACCAAATCTTATTGATTTATCTGTTGTAGTTTAGAAAATATTAAGCCTGTGCGGGACTTAAAATATACCCTGTATATATGTAGCCTATATGCCTAGTTGATGCTAGAGGAATTTTTTTATTTTTTTCTGTTCATTCTGAATACTTAAAATATTATATCTTGTTTTCGTAGTAAGAGATTTTAATAAATGAGAATATGAAGATCTTCGGATGGTTTTAAAAAGGTGTATCATATAGAATTGTGTTAATAATATTCCCAATTTATGTTTTGTATAGTAGGGATAATCTTTATGATTTATTAAATAACTGTATAACAAGTGTGTATTTTCAGATGTATGATATTGTAAACAAAGTAGTTAACTAAAGACAGTGATATATTTTTAAACTAAGAGTGGTATTTGTTATTACTTTCAAGTGGACAGCCATGCTGTTTACTCTAAAAAAGTTAATAATTTATGTTATTTGTGTTTTATCGAAATATTGCACTCTATGTATATTTTGTGCGATGAAAATGTAAAATATAACTGATAATCTGAATCACTGGGTATTTTTCTCCTTTCTCAGATGATTTAACTTCAAAAAGAAATAAGCATAATTCAATCGTGATGAAAAGTACCATTCATATAACTTTACCAAAAGCAATTTTCTGGCACTTGCTCCAATTATTCCTATTCTTGACTTTACCTTGTGCGTGAAACAAATCTCACATGCTCAGCTTTTCCTCGATCTTGCAATGTGGCGTTCTTGTTCCACTTGTAAAGCTTTGCCTCAAATATGAAACTTGAACAAGCACCACAAAATGCCACTTTTGATAATGAAATATACGATTCAATTTAAAATTACTCTTATGCGCTGTAATTAAGTTAAACAGCACAAAAATTACTACTGAAATATTTCCCATTAATTATCTGATGCTACTTTCAATGTTGCGGATGTCAGTTAAAGTTAATCATTTAGTTCCAACTGAATGATAAACTAAAAACTCCAACAACAGCATTCATTGCTTGGATTGCTGGATAAAGAGGAAAGATTTAATAAACCAAATCCCATAAAAAGGGGCAAAATAAAAACAAAGTTTTTTTACTCTAGTTATCTATATGAGGGCTAAAATATGAATTTCAAAAGTGTTAACTTAAAATTCTTTAGAAAAAATATATGATCTTGGCTTGTTCTTTTTTAAATTGAGAGTAAGACATTAAAAAGAATCCATTTCACATATTAGTAATGGCAAAGAATACTGTAGAGACGTCCAATTGCTTTGCCTCAACTTGACACAAAAGGAATAAAAAAAATAAAAAAACTAGTGAATGTTTACATCATTTATTTGAACTAAGCAATAAATGAAACAACTCTATGACATTTTATTTTGAAACTATTCTACCAACTACTGATCCAAATTACGTTAAGTTATTCGGTAACGGAGACATATGAGTTTCTGACCTAATTCTAAATAAATGAAAAAATCACATCGGAACAGTAAGTACATTATTAGTCTTTATGAAGTGTGCTTAACTAGATAAATGTTATTTCAAATTAAAATTGGTTTACATTATGGCTAAAGCTAAAGTATGTTACATCAGACACTTTTATATTGAAATAATAACAGAATAAATGAAAAGTACCTTCCAGGATGAAACAATAAAAATGGATGAATATACTCGTAAATAAACCATAAAACAATATAATCGACTAGAAACACAGATCCAAACAATAAAGCATGGTTTTTATATCAAACTTAACAATTTTAATATTTTAATAGAAGTTTTTATAAATGTGAATAATTTTTACATTATTTCATGCAGATAAGGTAAATCTCGAGAGAATGATTAAAATGATCTCTTTGAGGTTTTTATCATAATGCGAAATACAATCACTATAAACTGCAATAAAAAATATTAGAGTAAGGTAAAACTACATTAGCAAATATGTTTTGCTTTGTTTCTAGTTTCTACAGTAGAACCTCGCTAATTCGAACCTCGATAGTTCGAAAACCACTATAATTAGTAATGTTTGTCTGCTCCCCCCCAGAAAACCTCTAAAATTTGAAAAATAATAAACCAAAGTGATTTTTACGCTTAATGCAGCCTCTAATTCAAATTTGCACATACTAGAGCCTTGATCAGGGCCTGATTAAGGGTCTAGTTGCCAGTAGGCTGATGTTTTTTTCGCGCGCCCCTCCTCCCTTTCACTACCCTTCCTCTCTGCTACCACTTTCAAAATTTCAAAGAATGAATACTAATACTGAATTCAAAATTTAAAATGGCCTAAGGAATTATACTAATATTCAGTTTATTTAAAAACAAAAGAAAACTGATCATAAATAATTAATGCATGGTTTGATTAGGAACTTTTAAAATAGTAACAAATCGGTTGTTCAAGGAATGTAAAACTTTTTTATTAAAAATAATGTATTTATTTACATTTTATTAATCATACGATTGGTATAAATCAAAAGTAGACCTAACCTAAAATATCAAAAAACCAAACAATAATATACGTACTTTCTGAATTAACTCTGTTAATCATCTAGGCCTATAACAATTTTATTAGGACCTTTAGATGGAATTACTTAGTTTACAGCATTTATCTGTATTTATCTGCAACAAAAAGTATCATAAAATGTTTTTACAAATCAATTATTACTATAAACTAGCTGTAACCCACGGGCTTCATAAATAAATTGGTTAAGTTAAGCTGAAATAAACAAATAAGTACAGCTGAGGTATTTTTAACATTAGGCATATGGAAAGTTCCCTTTAGAAAGAAGTTACGACCTTAAAGGGCAATGTATGAAATAATGGATAGTTTTGCGCAAGGTTTCTCGTCATGATGAACATTTTAAGTATACGGTTTATGGGGGTGTGACTTGTAGTTTTCTCAAAAGTTCATGAGTACTTTGGGCTTTATATATGGATATAATGATTATGAAAATCTGCCGAACGCACCCTTTTCCGCCTCATTCCCTATCTGCGCGAATCCCTTTTTGGAATAAAACATTTTTTACGCCCCCGGTCCCAACTTAGGGTCTTAGCTGTCTGGCGCCCCCCTAAAACACTTGGCTGACTGGCGCCCTAGGCTCCAGCCTAATTAGCCTAATGGGTAATCAGGCCCTGGCCTTGATTATTATAATTTGAACTGTTGCCTCCAAAATTCGAAGTCAACCTCTACAATTCAAAATGTGTTACTGTAAGCCTCTGTAATTTGAATTGAGGAGAAAAAATATGCCTGTTGAAACTTGAAATGACGCTCTTATTGATGTTCCCAAGATGTGTTCATTAGTCTCCGTTCTCTCAAACTCTCTACACTTAAAACTGGAACCTCCATAATTCAAATTGTATTTATTCTGACCTCTATAATTCAAACTCGCTATATTTCAGACTTCCTTTGCTTCAAAATATATTCTCTCTGAAATTTGAATTAGCAAGGTTCTACTGTATAATACAAATTAACTGGTACAGTAACAATGATCTTTCTAAAAGAGGACAATTTTTTATGCTACGCAAATTATATTATTCACAAAACATTGATTATAGTAGAAAATAAACAAATTTACAGTTTTAATGCAGATATTTGGTTATGTGTGCACACTTTAATCTGGTAAACACAAGATAATGAATTCTAAAAAAAAAAAACTGTCTGTGAATAAAAACCACTCTTGAGAAACAATGTCTGTCTTTATCTTAGAATGAAGCCAAAAGTGAACCGCTAAAGAAACATTTCACTTCATTTTACTCTCCAAAAAGTAACTTTTAGAGATGAAGGAAGACGTTTCGCACCAAGTTCCACAATTTTCTTCTTAAAGACTGATACGGTCATCTTTTATATGACAAACCTCAAATCAAGGAGAAGTGATACTGCACATAAATAACATTAAGCAGGTTACATTCAATCTTAAACCATTGACTATTGGATACTGAAGTTGTATTAATAGTCAAAGCTTAAAAAAAAGAATCTTGAGCGAAATATTTTTATAACTTTTAAACTAACTGTTAACAAAATTTCAAGTAGGTAAGTATAACATTTTCAAGCATTATAAAAAAATATGATAAACATTCATTTTATAAAAATATAATCAACAATGTTACAAGAATAAAGTTAAAAGTCAACTATTTCTCATATCTACTATCTAATGAAGTTATTTGGCAGTACGTTTAAATTCATATTGTCTAGCTGAGTTATTCTAAAAATGGCAACAGTAATTGTTTACAACCACTAAATAAAAATGTTTAAAAAATATAATTTTTACAATGGAACATTCCAGACATACCAAGAGACAACAGTTATCAAATTATAACTAAATCCTAAAACCTACATAAAATACTGGTCACAGAACAAACAAAAACAAACACTAGTTTTAATATTTAACAATAAACACTACAATAAGATAGCAATTTAGAAACTATTTCATATTAAAAAATATAAAAACAGGTCCACCTTGAAAGGAATCTGGAGAAAATCCTTAAAATAGATACATGCACCTTTTTAAATTAGTACACATATTGGAAAATCCAATGTTACGGTACTTTAAATTTGTATAAGTTTTTTTTTACATTGAGTTTGAAAATAGTTAATGATTTATAGAAATTAGTTCAACTTCTTTGGTTGGGGAAGACTTTTTAGGCCACAGTACTAACAAGCAAAACACATATCCCTACATGTTTAACAAGGAATACACATCTGAACAGTTTTCAACAAATTCTACATAAAACTTTAATCAAATCGTATTATTTACAAGTCATATTTACACAGTCTTAGTTTAAAACAGGTATTTTGAGCTGAGCTGCACAACACAACCGAAGTGTATCACTGGAGTCACTAGCTAGTGCACGAGGTTTGTAAAGATAAGTTGGGCGAAGAAAGATGGCTTGGAGGGGTGGTTGTAGACGATCTGGAACAAAATAACTCTTAGACACAAATAAAGAAATTAGCTGCCTCTTTTAACATTGAGTTTGCCGGTCAACGTGGGTCTCCAAGGGCCCTGTCTGAAATGTATGGAGCAATAGGGGAATCGGTGGAGTAAGCATGAACTGTACTGAAATAAATGGCGACATCAAGATGTGGATGACATTGCTGCTTGGGTTTTACATTCCGTTGTGCTACCAACTCACCAACTAATCCACATCTACATAATTGCACTTCGCCACTTGTTTTGGCAACAAACTATTCACCTACTATACTTAACCCTTAGAGTGCCAGGTGAGAAATAAAAGTAACGCTCAAAAAATGCCGATGATTTTTCCCGAAGGTCGCGCTAAAAATGCCGAGCGCGATCTGGCGATTTTTAGGTTAAAATTTCGTAAAAATCGAATTTTCGATATTTCGACCAACGAAAATTGATGTATCGCATCTAGTAACTTTCGACTCAATGTTAATATATGGGTTAAAAGAATCCGAGTATCCATTCGGTTGTTATGACAACTGTTCGATCACTACGAAACGTCCGGTCAGCCGGACGTTGGCACTTTTGGCTCGTTCTAAAAACGTCCGGTCGGCCGGACGTCGGCACTTTTGGCTCGTTTTAAAAACGTCCGGTTCCCCGGACGTTGGCACTCAAAGGGTTATACATATCTGTGTTTTTGTCAGCTGTCAAAAAATAAATAAATAAATAAATAAAATAACAATTCTTAAATAAGTTCCCTGTGTGTTTATTTTTTAGTGATTTTTCAGCTCTGAAATTAAAAACATCTTGTTGTATGATTACTTTAACAGTCAAATGCTTGTCACTTAAACGTCTAACAACTAAGCCCAACACATATTGCTGTCAGTAAAGACTCAACTAAATTGTCGATGTCAAAGACTACCTGTTATGCCTGAGGTGACTTCTCACGAGATGTCCGGCAGCGAGAGCAGACATGAGAGACAGCTCGCCAGCCAACACTGTGCCACAGACGATTCTTGCTAGTGTGTTGGCGTTCTCTCCAGGGCAACTGTCGTGAGGACCTAGACAAACAATTAAGTTACAATGAACTCATTGCCGGACATATACTTGTGACAATCAAGGATGAGCCCGAGCTGCGAGCACTGTGCGAAGATTACTATCGCACAGGGCACACAGTCTTATTCCTACACCATGAGAATTGTAGTTCATGAGGGTGAGGGGGCTGTGTTGGGCTTTGCTCTAGACACCACTTAAGTTTACCATGGAGTGTTTCCTCTTTACCTCACTTTCCTGTGATTTTACTTACTTTTTTTAAATTTCCATGATGGATAGTCTCCTGATTACTGATATTATAATATATAATATTATAATTGGTACTTAATTATTTATAGTTTACTTATTAACACTTGACAACATTCCTTTCTTAGTATTTTGCACATTTCAATAACCCTATGTTATGAGTAAATTAACTTTGAATACCTTTATTGATAATAATGCTATTGGTTGCAGTGGCAACTAGTTTTGGATCAATCAATCAATTATTTAAGATGGGGACGCCACTATGTGCGTATTTTAACCCAAATATGAGTGAAGTATGAGTATAGGATTAGTTGCGCGATCTTGTAGTCTTGTTAGTGACTAAGGCCGACATATTCCTTAGACACAGCTGTTAATTACTAGCCCATACAGCCAATGGCAACTAAGGGACCAACAGTTTATTGGAATCCGAACCACATTTTTTCCTTGTAATTAACGAATTGGTCTAATTATCAGGATAGTACTGCGGATAAATCCACACCAGGGAGCATCGCATCCACAGTACATGCCTATAAATATCCACAATTTGTGACCTCCTAGTAGCTGAATTACAGGACAACGCCACCATCCCAGGTTGTTGCAGTGGCAACTAGATTTGGATCATCAAGAAGTGATGACTCCGTTTTTCGTAATGCTAATGGCTCCAAATTGAGCCAAAATTAGTCACCACTGCATCTAATAGGATCACCATCAATAACAATACAGGTATTTAAACCACTTATAGAGAAACCTTTCGTTTTTTTAAGTTAGCTGTGGGAGGGAGTTTGGGGTTGTCATCCTAGAGGTTATGCTTGGTAACATGACTAGGATTTGGACAGTTCCTGTAAAAAAAAAAAACAACTTGCAAACAGCATATAAAACACACAAATTCTAAAATATCCTGTTTTTTAGAATGTACGAGGGTTATTTTACCTCTGACTCCCAGCATGTCCAGACAGGCAGCCTGAGCAGGTAGCTGTGTGCCGCCTCCCACTGTACCTATCTCTACTGAAGGCATGGTACATGAGATGTACAAGTCTTTGCCGTCTTCTCCCCACGGCTCCATCAGTGTCATACAGTTACTGCTGGAGACATTCTGCGCTGGGTCCTGTGACAAACGCACTCTTGTTACCAACCAGGTAATCCTACTTTCCTCACAAAAAATCCTATAAACCTAGGCCCTTGTGCCTAGGTTTATAGGATTTATTACAATCTTAACCTCCAACGTTACATAATAAAATCATTGAATTTCAATACAACTTAAACATTACATTCCCATGTAAAGATGTAGCTAGTTTCAGATAAAAAATTATTGACAATGAACTGAGCCACGGACATATAAATTACTGATTTCTGTCCAACACACCAACCGATCAACCAAGCCAAACTGAAATGAACTCATTGCAAACTACAGTATTCTAAACTATCACCATAACAAAACTAAGGAAGCAAATAGAAATTTAGACAGTATCATACTTTGTGGGTGGCTTATTCAACCATGTTATTTTTTAATACCGAATTACCTACATATGTGGTTCAAAAATATGGATGTCTACTTCAGTGTCCAAATTCAATAATTATATGAAAATGCTTGCTGAAGGACCATTGCCATAGCCTTCTCTCCTACAAGGCCACGACAAGACAAAAGTGGCCTGCCGAGTCAGCTGTAGCACTAATTCAAATGGAGTGTCTGCACAATGTTTATGTTTACACTTACACAATTTGTGTTACCATGGCAACAGTCTGGCGAGTGTAGCATTTGCCTGGGTAGAGCCTTGCTTTACAAGATGCTATGCTGTTGCTGTTTTTGAACTATGATAGGAATTATACTACTATATTAATTGAATATAAATATAGAGGAACACTATAAGGCTCTTTAGGAACTTTAAACCAAGAAAATTAAAATACCCCTGCTGCAACAAACCTGCAGAATATGCGAATACCCATTTGTTTGATTGTATTATGACTCAAAAAATTCCTTAAACTTGTCAGATGTATTCCCTTTTTAAATAACATTAGTTTTAACAAGTACTTAGGTTAGCTGCAACGGGATGGGAAAAAGTGTTTTTTTTTCAAATGTAATAATATAGTATGAAATAAACATATTTGCCAAATGTTATTAAAATATATCCATAACAGGCAAACTACAACAGTTTACTTGTTCGATATAAGAATAACATGGGAATTTCAAATGTACATTTTTTTTTGAATTTTCTCAGTAACCTTTAAAAATACAATAATGCTTCAATAGACAAAATTATTAGTTTTAAGCTTCACTTGATGGTTTTGATGAAAAGTGGACATTTTTGTTTTAAGGATAAGCACTTAAAAAGTGTCTTTTGAAAAATTGTAAAACTCCATAACATTTAACATTTAAAACAACCCCGTCCCCATGGCCCAATCTAGCTGGTTCGCAAACTCATTCAAGTGTATCCAGCCCAACACGTTTATGCCAAATTGAATCAAAATCAGACCAAAATTACTCAAGTTATCCCGTTTACGGGCATTAATAAAAACATTTTAACGAACATGTTTTTGACCACTGGGGACATCAAAATGAAAAAGTAAATCGGCCCTATAAAGAAATTCGCTAACACATGGAGAAAGATAAAAATAAAGCAAAAACCTCACTAGAAGCCACTTCTTCATCTACAAACTATAATCAAGCGACTAACCTGTCCCGTAGCTATGAAGATGGCTGTTACGATGTTGGCTGCGTGAGCGTTGAAACCACCTATACTGCCTGCCACAGCTGAGCCTATCAGGTTCTTGTTGTTATTAACGTCTATCAGCCCAGCGACCGTTGTCTTCAGCACAGATGTCACAATATTGCTCGGTACCACGGCTTCACACACCACGGACTTGCCTCTGCCTTCGATCCTTAAAAAAATAATTAAAAATGACATATAAAATTTAGTTTAGGGCAAAAAAGTGATAAGGCTTAAAATAGAATTCCAACATGAATGGGAGAGATTCCTTGGTGGTCTTCGGGCGACAACCGTGTCGAAATAGATGAAACACCAATGGACAGTAGACACTCACTGATCCGGCAAGTTCCCGGACTTTGGCCATTAATGCTGATGGAAAATGCAGGATTATTAGCGTTCTTTAAAAATATCTGTTATAGGAAGACTAGCAAAAATATCACAAATTTTACACAAGGCTTACAACAGCATTCAAAAACAATTTTTTTGTTGAGCTGAGATGGGATTATGTAAGTAATGTAGTCTTACACAGACTTTTTTCTGGGTATTATTTCCACATGTTACTAGCAAGAATAAACAAAACTTATACAGTACGAATGAATGGATGAAAACTTGTACAGTACAAACCAGTAAGGATATTTCACCGTTACTGGCAAATTTTGTCTTCAGAGTGTAAAGGAACCTTTCCTATTCATGTAAGCCTACTACTCCAACAACAATGCTTTATATGTTACTTATAATCACTCTAACCTGAAGACAACAAAATCATATTTGAGATAATTTTGAAAGTTTAGACGTGATTTGAAACATCACAAAACTCTGTCGTCATCAAAGGAAACTGACATTATTAAATAAATTTTTTCTAGCTCAAAATAAAATACTTACCAGTTCACAGCAGCAGGTTTTTTATCAGAGCAAAAGTTTCCACTTAAACTGAGAACTTCCATATCTGGGAAATACTCTTGAACTGTCTTCAGGGAGACTTCTGTTCCCTGTTAACAATACATCACTAAATACAATAATAAATAATCTACAAATATGGTAAAACATCATATTCTGAACTCTTTTAATAGAGACTTTGCTAAATCTGAATATCCTTTTGACAGTTTCTACAGATGTTTGGTCACACTTGAAAACTGTGATTCTCCAAAAATTATAGTAGTGTACAAACACAAGATCACTTGACAGAGCAAGGTAATTTAAAATAAAGATTGAATTCAGAATTAAATCTTTGGAAAGGGAATAGAGTTCAGTACAAACACCTAAGACAGTTAGAGTCCAGGGACTCATATACTATACACGAAACATAACACTGACATTTTGTCCTAATACTCGATAGGACTTGTTCAGAGAGTAGGTAAATGAGAAATGTCAGTTTCATTGTGGCTTTCTCACAAAACTGTCTTCTCAGTTCGCTGGCTAAACTCTATTCAATTTTCAAAAATTATCCTAATCAGCCTTTTGGCTTTTTTAAAATATATTTCAGTACTAACATTTTTTTTGTCACAAGTGTTCTTTTGGAGTACCCAAACAGTTGAGTGATAGCTCTGTCTTTCCCAACATTAAGTTAATTTAATCCGGACAACTTGTATCTCCAATTACAATTCATTATCCAATAATAGAATCAACCGTCTTACCTTGGACAACATGTTCATGCCCATTGCGTCACCGGTAGTGGCAACAAACCTGACGAACAACAATCTCCCAGCAATGCGAATGTGCAGTTTGGTCAGTCGAGCGAAACGACTTGACGAGTCAAAACTGTCCTTCATCACTTGGAAGTTGGCTGGAGTCTGCATCCATGCCATCGCCTCACTGTCACAACACGACATGTTACAACAGGTATGAATGCTCTGTGTTTGACAAAAGCCATTGCTCACTTTTTAGATGAAATTTTAATATTCTTTTACTTAAAAAATAAATGTATTTACCAACTATGTGATATTTAACAAGATTATAAGAACTAGTTTGTTTAAACTAAGTCAGTATGCGATGCGTTTAACAACTAATTAAATTTCATTTTGTTAGTATCACTGGATCACTGATTTTTACAATAAAAGGTTTAAATTACCTGTATCCGTCAAGTGATCCTGGTTTGTAGTTGGTTGACTACAGATGTTTCATGTTAATATTAACACATCTTCAGGTCAAATTCGTCAATGCATTGATATATTCCATAGAATGGTCGTCATAAGGTTTAAAGTTCACAAAAAATAACACATACACGTACACAAAACATTTAACACTGATTGGCCAAAACACAAAACAAAAAGCGTGTAATTAACATCGGACACGTACGGCGCCGGTAGAGACCTATAGGTAGGTCATGACCTACCTTCTACCGGCGCCGTACGTGTCCGATGTTACGCGGTTTTTCGTTTTGTGTTTTGGCCAATCAGTGTTAAATGTTTTGTGTACGTGTATGTGTTATTTTTTTGTGAACTTTAAACCTTATGACGACCATTCTATGGAATAAATCAATGCATTGACGAATTTGACCTGAAGATGTTATTAACATGAAACAGCTGTAGTCAACCAACTACGAACCAGGATCACTTGACGGATACAGGTAATTTAAACCTTTATTGTAACTAATTAAATAGTGTATTCCATTTGTTTGAATTTTTTCAAAGAGAGCTGATTATTTTTTATACCTAACCTGAACCAAACTGTGTTTATTTTTCTAATTTATTGTCATACGTATTTAATTTTTAAGTTGTACTTTAGCTGTTTTGTTTAGCGTTGTCGCATCAAAACTTACTTAGTGAATTTTTAATAAAACAAGTGTGTGAACAAACTGCACTCAAATATTTAGTGATTGCTTCACAGCATTAAACCTTAAGAACCCAGTTCCAATACTAGAAACTGCAATAATACTGAATAATGGGTAACCTATTAAGCATGACAATTTTTACTTTAAAATTGAAAATAATGAATTAGAATAAAATCCGACAGAACGACTTACCTAGCACGAGTCATGGAGGGGAATCGTACAACAGGACCTCTAGTCATCCCGTCAGCGACCACGCGACTGCGCACGCCACACTTGAGTAGTGCTCGAGCCCCACGATTGGTGGAGGCAACTAGACAACCCTCTGTTGTGGCCATGGGAACATACACCAAGCTGCCATCTAGCAGTAGTGGCCCAGCCACCCCCACTGGGACTGGCACATAGCCTATCACGTTCTCACAACAGGCTCCCAGCACCTAGAGTACAATGAGATAATAGGTGGCAACTAGAAATGTATCAGTTTTAGCCTATAAACATTCTGTACATACTTTGAGAGACTTATTACTTACTACTATATATATATATATACCCCCGCCGCAGCAAACCTGCAGACTAAACGAATTTCCATTTGCCTGATTGGATTTACATTAAAATATCTCCTTAAAAATATCACATTTATTCCCTATTTAAATAGAATCAGTTTAACACATAGTTAGGTTTGCTGCAACAGGGAGGGTGAAAGTGTTTTTTTATGTAAAATGTTAATAGTTAGTAAGAAATAAAAACATTTTCCAAATTTGGGCAAAACATGTTAATAAACAAGCAAACTACAACAGTTTACTTATTCTCCATAAGAATAACATGAGAATTTTAAATTTACAATTTTTTGGAATTTTCTCCGTAACCATTAGGCGCATTATAACGCTTCAATATACTAAATTATTTGTTTTTTTAAGCTCTACAAAATTGTTTGGAAAGAAATTGCAAAATTTTATGTTTTTTGGGTCAAAAATGGGAAAAACCCATTTTTACCCCATAAAAGCCCCCATAAACCCCCGTTCCCATGGTTCAATCATGCTGGTTCGCGAACTCGTTCGAATAAACGTAGGTTCACAGGTTTGTACCAAATTTCATTAAAATCGGATCATTTTTGCTCGAGTTATCGCGCTAACGGACACATATATATATATATATAAATATATATATATATATATATATAAATATATATATAAATATATATATAAATATATATATATATATGAATTTGAACGGATGGTGTTTTTGGCCTCTAGGGACCTCAAAAAAAAAAAAAAAATCGGTCCCGGGTCCAGGTCTTACCATGAGTACTACGGTAATAGCTTATTCCCTATATGGGAAATTCGCTAATATATATATACACATAATTTTGACAAAGTAGTTTAAGACTAAAAATGCAGAGCGAGTGTTGAATGGTGTGATGTGATATTTGTAGCACAGAAGACAAATGTGTTTTTACTGTTTTAGCTAAACTAGAACAAAAAGAAGCATTCTCAAACTCAAAACCATTAACTTCTCTTCCCTCAGAACCTTTGAAACTATCAACTTTTTAACCTTGAACCTTGTTCCTGAAACAATAAAGACTTCAACTCTTATTGATAATTTACCTCAAACTTTTTCCCAAAACGAATGGTGCCATTTGAATCAAGAATATTTAAACACTCCTCAACAGTGATGTTTCAAATGGAAGTTCAAGAAAGAAAACCTCAATGTTGATGACTTAGTTATCAATACAATTGTATACAATTGAATAACAAATTTTAAAATTCAGTAAATCCAGCTGCCCACCTTGTTGTAGTCGTAATCACGGTAGGGCAGTTCGTCCAGCGCATGAGCAAAGTCTCCTGCGATACCAACGATCTGTCGTCTGATGCCAACGCCTCTCTCGGGGTTGTTGACTGCCTTCTCAATCTGATACGTGGGAATGTAGCCGGTCTTGACTAGAGCACGTACCTCTGAATCACTCAGTACTTCTGCGGAACCCTAAAAACAACAGTGTTGGTAAGGTTATGATCCTCAAATGTAGGAAACTTCATAGTTATAATTAAATAACCCAAGAAGTGCTATGTATCGACAACAAATTTTTCCCATTTCCAAAGCCCAACCATTTCTTAGCATGTCACTAAAACAATTGGATTGCAATAACCTTTATACAGCAATAAAGCAAAAGATTTAAGCCTTGGCAAATCCATTAACTATAGTTATTAGCTGTGTCACAAATGGGTATTTCGTATTGTTGCTAATCAGCTGTTGTCTACCGACTTAGTTTATGTTTACCTCTTTTGTAAAAGATAATTTTTGTTGAAGGTAAGTTATTATGACTAATCGTTTTTCCATGTGGTATTGTTCAATGTCTGCACTGCATGATTGATGTTGTTAGTTTATATTGATTGTATGGCTTTTTAGTGAAATAAGTTTTTAAAACCAAGGTTAGGCCTACATTTAGGCCTGAGACCATTGACAGAGAAAGAAAAATAAAATAAAATTTTAAAACTATACTTCTTGTTCACCTTTTGTTTGTACAGAGCAACACATTCGTCCACTGGTCTCGGATGTTTCTCGTACTCGTCTTCCTCGACACCAGTCTGTACAGACTTGTCTTCTCTCATAACCTCATTGTTGGAATTCTCTACATTCTCGGTTTGCACTGGTTTGTTCTCTGTGATGACATTGGATCGTTCGTTCGCCGCCTCCGTTTGACTGCCTCTGTGACTGGGTATCAAAGCGTTGGTTTGGACACTGACGCTGTTCTTGGAAGTGAGACCGACCTCGATCCAGCCTTCGTCTACTCCACTGTCTCTCTCTAGGGACGTCATCTGTGAATATCTGTGGCGGAGAGTTGACTCGACACTCCCTACGGAGAAAAAAGCTGTTACCATTCTCGGAATGTAAAATTACTACAGAAGTATAGTGATGGTTTACAGTACATGGTTTAGCCCCTCAGCTGCGGGTAATGTAAGATAATTATTCATCAAACAGTCGATCAGCTCTCGGTGAATACCACGTGGAGGCTTTTAATCGGATATATGGCTTCAAGTTTGAGTTAAATATCAGTTTTGGCTCTCATCTCAGCTGGGAGGTTTATCCTCTTTTTTAAGTCTTTCATTGACACTTTCAACTTTCAATACAGGATTTAAACTGTACAAGCTCAACAAAGAAGCTATCTTCAACATCTGAAGAATATACTGTGGCGAGATCAATCACCAGCTTCTCTAAGCTCACGTCCATATTACAGATGTCAGTTAATCACTTATAAACATCACAAACCTTGTCATAAGCTTTTTTGATCGACTATTAGTCTGTCTATCAAAACATTGAAAATATTTACTTCAAAATTCTTTTGGGAGAACTTAGAACTTAAAAAATTACAAGCAATAAAGCTATTGATCGTGATAAGTCCATATATCTCCTCTTTGAGGCTACATACTGTGATGATCAAATGATTATAACAACCAATATACCTGACAATGAGATGGATTCCCTCCTAATTATTTTGGGGTAATGAGAATCAATAGTAATCATACTTTTGTTTTACCGCATCAATTTGAAATTAATAAAAGTTGAAAACTTACGTTCATGGTGGCGTTCCTGCAAGGCAGCTGTGGCGGAGGACATTAGGAATTGTTCTGTAAGTTCTTCCTTGTCTTCAAAGAATATGAACTTCACTGTGAGTGCAAGGAGAAGAATCAGAATAACAATGTGATCAGCACTTCCTGTGATCCATCTAGAAACAAATGATGAAATTGAAATTAAATTTAAAAAAATCTTTATTCAAGATAACATCATGCTAATTATTACATATTCTCTTGTGTGCACAGGCAAGTGTGAGGAAATCTTTAGGTACGTATCATTTTACGATGTTATTACTGGCAAAGTCTATTCTCTGTTCAGCATTCATTCTTATTTTTAACATAGATGCGCATAGTTATTCATTCTTCTTAATATGTATATGCTTATCCTTTAAGAAGTTAAAAATAAATTTCAAACCGTTAGATACAATCTGAAACATTTAATATCCAAATATAATGCTTAAACAGTTTTAGGCAGTAAATGGCAGACAAAAAATCCATAACTCAATTTACTTGATGCTTTACTTCTTCAAGACTTGAAGCAGAATATTCATTTGCCTTGGATGGACGAAATATTAAGTGTTAATGGTGTGTACACATTTAGTAAGCCATCAACTGTCTAGATCTCTTTCTTAGATGACTTTTCAAATTACAGTAGAACCTCTTTAATCCAAACCCCCGTAATCCGAACGTCCACTAATCCGAACGCCTCATTGCTGTTCTCTATACACAGAACAGTAGTTTTTCATTGGATACTGAATTTATTAGTATACACTCCGTAATTGTTTCTATTGTAATGTTGTTTTATGGTTGATTTTTTTTACATCTTACCTGATAAACTGCCCTTGTATAACCGCAGCGTCGTCAGTGCTGTTAGTTCCTATGTTGTCTGAGACCAACGGCAGAACTGTGTGCTCCTCACTACTTCCCTTCAATGCCCACCGACTGTCAACATATTACAACAATCATCTCATGCCAATTACCTGCACCAGATAACCTCAAGATGCAGATGTATCAACTGATTTCATATATTTATTATTTCCACTTTTAGTTTGATTTAAATTCTAAACCCTCTTAGCGCTAAGGAATTTCTTACAGGACGATGAGCTATCAGCTTAAGTGTGAGCATTGCTGAGAGCGACTCTTTGTATTTCATATAGTATGCAACAATGTAGAGGACTTATTGGCTGATTGATAAACCGTTCAGTACAAAACCTTCAAATCATGTGGGGGAAAAACATGTACTGTACTGGAACTGATAATAAAATAAAAAATACTTAAGATGCTGCTGATAATAAAGTCAATATGACACAAAAAATAAGATGGTTAACATTGAAAGAGTTGATTTTGAGTAGCAAGGGTTTCTTAGTTCAAATAACTAAACAAATACTAAAACCTATCACATAACCTTAGGTATATGGACATATTTTATAGAATGCTTACTACATAAGAACTTTGATTTAAAACTCCTTACATTAAAAGCACAAACAAAATAAACAAATTTAATAATCTTGAAAATACTCGCCCTATGAAGTAAACTAGGGATGATTGACAGTCGAGAGATGACACTAAACTGAGAAGACCCGAGTCGGACAATAGATGTCACACAAAGACAGCTGACAAAGACTTGGCTAGAGAGATTAAATCAGAACGTCTTGCATTCAAATATGACTCGAAATAGTCCACGGGGGAAAACTGAATATAACCTATTTTGAGTTGCAAAACACTTTCAAACCCCTGTACCATTGTTGCCAGGAGGTATCCGGTTTTTCCAAATGTAAATTTCATGACCTTGAAAACTTATTTCCTGAACAGAACCAATGTTACTGGTACAAGTAAATTGTACACGTCGTTTAAAACTTTGAAAGTTACATCTTACTTGTTACTTTTTATTTCAGAAGTTGTTCTTAAAAGGTGAAGTAATCTGCGACACCTTAAAACAAAACCTTTAACACAAAACAAATGACAAACTTTGTTAATTTGATTATTAATTTGTTAATTTGATTCAATTGACTGGGACGGGTGGCGTCGTCCTGTAATCCAGCTACTAGGAGGTCACAAATTGTGGATATTTATAGGCATGCACTGTGGATGCGATACTCCCTGGTGTGGATTAACGTCCGCACGAGAGAGTACTTTGACTATCCGCAGTACTATCCTGATAATTAGACCAATTCGTATATACCAAGGCAAAAATGTGGTTCGGTTTCCACTATAAACTGTAGGTCCCTTAGTTGCCATTAGCTGTATGGGCTATTAATTAACAGCTGTGTCTAAGGAATGTCGGCCTTAGTCACTAACAAGACTACAATTACCACTAGAATTAAGAAATCTCAACTATGTCAAATTTAAGTCAGCCATCTCTGTACTCCTTAAACAAAATGCCTTTTTCTCCACCAAAGATAGTTTGAATTGTAAAACTTTTGTTTAATGTTTTTATAACGATGACTGTATTTTAGTTTAATGCGTTGAAATTGTACTGACCTTTCCTATTGCAATGTATATATTGTTTAACGGAATAAAGAATTGTCTATTGTCTATTGTCTACAAGATCGCGCCACTCATCCTACACTCATCTCCATTCATACTTGGCTTAAAATACCTACTTTGTATGGTCACCATTTCATAAGAAAGTATTAAAGACAACTAATTGTTACCTTTTATGTCAGGTTTGGAGGTTACATGTATAATACCCCCACCGCAGCAAACCTGTAGACTAAGCAAATTTCCATTTACCTGGCTGAATTTCTACTAAAATATTCCCTAAAAATTTGCAGATTAATTTCCAGATATATATAAACATTAATTTTAGTGAGTAATTAGGTTTGCTGCTACAGGGAAGATATTGAGGTGTTTCTTATTGCAATGTGTATAGCTTAGTATGAAATAAACAAAATTTCCAAATTTGGTTAAAATATATTCATAAACAAGTAAACTACTAAAGTTTATTTATTCTCCATAAGAATAACATGGCAATTTTAAATACCATAAATTTTTTTTAATTATCTCTGTAACCGTTGGGCATACAACAACGCTTCTATATACAAAATTATTTCCTTTTTTAAGCTTTACAAAATAGTTTGGAGAAAAATTATGAATTTTTTGTTTTTAGGGTCAAAAATGGGGAAAAAATATATTTTTACCCCATAAAACCCTGTTCCCATCGTCCGATTATGCTGGTTCGCGAACTCGTTTGACTAAATGTAGGTTTACACGTTTGTAAGAAATTTCAACAAAATCGGATAATTTTTGCTCAAGTTATAGCGCTAACGGACATATATATATATGAATTTGAACAGATGGTGTTTTTGGTCTCTGGGGACCTCGAAACGAAAAAGCAAATCGGTCCCGGGTGTAGGTCTTACCATGGGACCTACGGTAATAGCTTATTCCCTATATGGGAAATTCGTTAAAAAGAAACATAAGAACTAGGAATGAACTGATGCCAAGTATCGATTCCACTAATTCTTGGCCTTGGAACTACAACCGAGAATTAATCGATAAAATTCAATTCTGATTCTATTACTTCCAGATGTCTGAGGTACAAAATAAATAGCCAGCTGGAATCTAGAAGATAGCTAGGATACCAATTAAGATTAAGATGTGTGTTCAACAGAGCAAATTAAAATTCAAGCTAAGGAAATGAGATGATTGCTTTGTTACTGACAAAAATCAGTTGGTTCTTTAGCCAGGAGCATTTGCCTGATCAAGTATAGCTTGGGTCCATCTACCATAAACTAATGTCTTTTCTCAGGATCAAATTGGCAACATTACGATTACCAAGCAATGCTATAGAAACTCTGCTCCCTAAAAGGGTTTATATCATTGCTAGCGTATCAAATAATAGACTACACTATAGTAAATGTATTTCAATAGTTTATGGATATATCTTGATGACATTTGACAAATTTATTTATTTTAAACTAGGCTGTTAACAATTTACAAAGAACACACTGTATTACCTTCTTTGAAGCAGCAAACTTAAGTTCTTGTTGAATGTTATTTAAATAGGGAATAAATCTTACATGCTTTAGGAAACATTCTAATCGGGCAAATGTAAATTCACATAGGTCTGAAAGTTTGCTGTGGTGGGGTCTTTGTGAATAAACATTGTAGTTGGAATCCAGAATCGATTTCTTTGAATTGAAACTGAAATCAAAATCTAGAAAAACTGGAGTTGACCCGAGGCCCCACTAGAAAAACAGGCCATGCTGCAGGATCCATGACGTCACACTAGTGGATAAATTCATTGCCATATCCCATTAGGTAAATAAGCGGCTGTTTGTCAGATTTTAATGGTAAGATTTTAGTACAGCTATCCACCACTGTGACGTAGTGTTGCGCTGCCCGCGCTGCAGCATGGCCTGTTTGTCTAGTAGGGCCTTGGTTGACCCCATAATAATGAGCATATTTAAGACAATTACCTGTGAGCGTGGACGACTACGAGGCCAGCTGACATGATGACTTTGACTCTCTGAACCACAGGATTGGGTTTCTGATCCTCTTCTCTTAGGGCTCTCAGGATAGAGTTGTTGTGCCAGCCTGGCCCGGATGAACCATCACTCCGGGATAGCTGTTGTAACAAATGTAGGGAATCATAAAGATATAAATATTTCAACAACAACAGTTTACAATATAAAGAGTTTGGTTGTACAGTATCTTATATCCCTTAGATATTTTATTAGTTGGTAAAGAACAGATTGATTAATTTTGGTTTGATTCTTGTAAATGCTTTGATTCTACACAAAACAGAAATCTCATTCTTGGATCTTAATTTTTTGGTATCTTTAATTTTAGTACTAAGCATGTGTAGTATGGCAAGTTCAAAACCATAGTCCACATCTACTTATGCACGACAATGTACACAATAAAATATTATCTAGTACTAGTTTAATCTGACTTGGAAATGTTGAACGTCAGTTTCAGACTTTTCTGTAGTTAAGACAAAAGTCCGATCCTGAGGTTTCTGAATGAGAGGGATTCTGCAGTAAACAATAATCAAATCAAACTCGATTATGTGAAACTAACCTCTAATATCAACGAGAGGCAGGCTGGGTATAACGTCATGAAGACAATGTAGTTAACGACCGCAGACATGCAGGCATACCAACATAACATCTCTAGTCTCTTGACACCTGCGGAAAATAAAGTAAAGTAACAGTTGGTTACACTGAGACTTCCAATGTAGCAGACATTCTATTCAACAGGCAATGTGTACTTACAAAACGGTCGGCTTCTTAGGTATACTGGATGTAAATCATCTATAAACAAAACTGAAAAAAGAGAGAGGATAAAAAAGAAAAAAACATGGAGAAAAGATCAAAATGATGGTTTAAATTTGTTGTATTATGTTTATAGGGATTTTGGGGCAAAAATATGTTGTATAAATTTAGTACCCAGCAAATTTGATTAACTACACTTTTACATTTGTGCTAGGAGGGATCTAAACAACTGATGATACAAACTGCAAGCTGATCTCTGATTGTGACAATACTTTTGACTATATTTTATGATTACAAGTTATTGTAGGATGACAATTATAGTTTTATAATAGGTTGGTTTATCCGGTGAGGGTCTTGATCCTGCAGGGGTTCTATTGTACAACAATCCAACTATCAAATTATTCTTAACCAGTTTTCTCCCATTACCTGACAGAGTGCCGACGCTGATGACTAACGTTTCTACGATGGTGTCTAGCGTGATTGTCGGCCCGAGAAGTGCCATTCCTCGCGCAATGTTCTCCTTTACCTCGTGTTTACTGGACGCACTGAGGGCAAACTGCGCAAGCAACGTCGCCTTGGACAGGTCGATCAGGAGGAGGAAGAAGAACAGTGCGTCTCTATAACAGGCAGACCAAGATTGAAAAATCATTCTGATAGTAACAGATGTAGTTTAATGTTAAAACATAGGTTAAGAATCTACAAAGTCTATAATGTCTTGGTCAGGTTGATTAGATGGAGAAATAAAAACGATCGTCTCAATAACAGGTGGCAGAGAAGTCATATTGTACTTTGATTCAATGTTAATTTTTGTATCAGACGATTAGTCAGGGTAGCAAAATCTATATACATTATTTTGCCCATCCTACTAATGTTTACAATTTAGGTATAATTTTAACGATACGATCTAGTGCAGGAACAAATGGCAATGAAAATGGTAATTTACTTTAGAGCTGCCCCAAGAATTTGATCTACTGACTAACTTTCTTGTTTCATAACAGTTTTTAAACTTAAATAATAATTTAACAACTAATTAACTTCAGCCAGTTTTTCTGCCACAAAGTTATGTTTGAAAGGTAAAGTTTGTAGCATTATATTATTCTTATGTATTAGAGACGAGTTTTGAACCCTATTAAAATGTGCCATTGGCACACAAGCCCCATCGTGATTTTTAGTGCGTGGAACAAGTGTAAAAATCTTTCACCTCCGGAGACCAGCACCATACTTTGGGAATCGACTAAATACATGTAAAAGAGTGAAAATCAGCCGGGAGGCAAGCTTTAAAATAATTAGGTAACGGGCATTGACGTCATCAAAATGGCCGCTCAGCCAATAACAATAATGTCGCATATCTCGTAAACCGCGTAACCGATTTTGACGTATGACATCTTATTTGAAAGGTCTAATCATTATCTATAAAAAAGGTCATTACACCTTTAGCGGTTAAACCAACGGTTTCTTTGTATTTTTGAAAATATTAATTTTTTACGCCCCACAAAATGGGTTTTTGCATTTATTATTAAAAAAAATTAAATAATCAAAATTTCATTTCCACCGTTTAATCCAGCTTTAAAAGATGAACAATTTAGTATTTTGAATCATCACTCTATGTATATTGGTTACCGAGATATTGAAAGTAGTAAACACAGAACACTCTGTCCCCCATGTTATCCTTATGGGAAAAATAACATTCTATATCTCAGTTATTTTTTAACGTATCTTAATACAGCTTGGTATGTGGTTTCACCTAGTTGAGCTACTTGATAATGACTATAAAATATTTATATTTTACATTTACATGGCAGCAAACCTACATACTCATTTCCCATATTATTTATATGGCGAATATTTATGCATGATTATTTATGAACATTGTACTGTACTTTCTCAGCTTTTCCTTACTTTAAACTTTAGACCTTTTCGGGAGTTTTCAGGACTCAGGATGACTGAACACTTGTAGGAATTATGATACATTTATTATTCTCAGAACTGTTTACAAAAACTATTGACAAATTACTTCTACTTCGAAACCCCATAGACCAGGGCAATCTATTAGGCGGTCCCTTGACGTCTGGTCGATCGGCTCGAGACCTCTCTGTCCCGTTTTGCTGTCGCGGTGGGTTCCCCACGTTGGTTCTCCTTCCTGACGCTGTCCCGTCGTAGCGACTCACAGAAGTCCTATCGACACAGCTCCTGCAGTCCTCCAACTGGCTCCGTCTCGGAAAATGCTGAGTGGGTTACTATCCCAAACGCAGCAGCTACCGTCGGTGTTGCCCGTTCCGTTGGCAGATGCAGACTACCGTCTCTCCCAGACAACTCTTTCTCTTCTTAAATAGTGGAGGAGGGCCTCTTCATCCCCCTCCAGACGGATCCATGGTCCCGGGAGGCAGCTTTTTTTTGGCTTAAACTGAAATAAAACGGATGCCGGGGCTCCACACGCCAAACAGCTGCACCGGGCTCAAGACGCCTCTAGTACAGGGACGGAAAGCACCGAGTTCAACACGCTCTAGTGCGAGGTGTACAGGGCTCAGCACGCCTCTAGTACTGGGGTGTCAGGGCTCAGCACGCCTCTAGTACTGGGGTGTCAGGGCTCAACACGCCTCTAGTACTGGGGTGTCAGGGCTCAACACGCCTCTAGTGCGGGGTGTACCGGGCTCAGCACGCCTCTAGTACTGGGGTGTCAGGGCTCAGCACGCCTCTAGTACTGGGGTGTCAGGGCTCAGCACGCCTCTAGTACTGGGGTGTCAGGGCTCAACACGCCTCTAGTACTGGGGTGTCAGGGCTCAACACGCCTCTAGTTCTGGGGTGTCAGGGCTCAGCACGCCTCTAGTACTGGGGTGTCAGGGCTCAACACGCCTCTAGTGCGGGGTGTACCGGGCTCAGCACGCCTCTAGTACTGGGGTGTCAGGGCTCAACACGCCTCTAGTACTGGGGTGTCAGGGCTCAACACGCCTCTAGTACTGGGGTGTCAGGGCTCAACACGCCTCTAGTGCGGGGTGTACAGGGCTCAGCACGCCTCTAGTACTGGGGTGTCAGGGCTCAACACGCCTCTAGTACTGGGGTGTCAGGGCTCAACACGCCTCTAGTGCGGGGTGTACAGGGCTCAGCACGCCTCTAGTACTGGGGTGTCAGGGCTCAGCACGCCTCTAGTACTGGGGTGTCAGGGCTCAACACGCCTCTAGTACTGGGGTGTCAGGGCTCAGCACGCCTCTAGTACTGGGGTGTCAGGACTCAGCACGCCTCTAGTACTGGGGTGTCAGGGCTCAACACGCCTCTAGTGCGGGGTGTACCGGGCTCAGCACGCCTCTAGTACTGGGGTGTCAGGGCTCAGCACGCCTCTAGTACTGGGGTGTCAGGGCTCAACACGCCTCTAGTGCGGGGGTGCCGGGGCTCAACACGCTTCTAGTGCATACCCCACCGGTGGCGCCTACCGACGGGGTCGGGCCCGGAGGCCCAACATGTCGAAGTCCCCCAAGAATGCTCCTTATATAGGGTCGTAACTCTTAAGATGCTTGGAGAGTGGGGGTAAGTACCCAGTATCCGCCCCCGGCCGAAAGTACTGGGCACTTTTTCCTAATCACTTTCCCACTTTTCCCTCGGGTCACTGAGCACAATTCCTGGGTGCTTTGGTGTTTCAGCCCATATTACATTACCCAACCTTGGCCTTGTTAAACACTTCATTACAACATATGCTGTCAGAACTTGACGTTAAGCGTAATTTTAATTAATTATCGAAGTATTTAAAATTCCCTGAGTATGCAAGTTTTTAGTATTTTGCAGGTGGATTTTATATCAAATGGAGTGCAACTTAATCTTGTCTTGAAATAGTTCGTGCCTCCGTCTGAATTATTTTCGGAATTTGTCTGGGGAGATTCTCATCCAAGCATATAATATCAAGGCGTGGTTTTTTTCTTAGAAATTGAGACGAATCTTTTGACACCTCACACGTTGAAATTGGCCCACAAATAAGGGAGGAGTAGTGTTAACAAAAACGGTTTCACGTATTATATACAATAAAAATATAATATTTTTTTTATTTGTTAAAGGGAAATGACAGAGACGCCAAGCCGTATTTCATACTATTCTTCAGTTAAATACAAAGATAAAAAAAAAAAACAGTCAAATTCTATGTAATAATATGTTTAAGTGGGGAATCCACAGTCCAATGCCTGAAATGCATACTATTCCTCAGGTAGGGTAGCCACAAAAAAATAATCCATAACTATGTTTTGAAAAGCCCAAAAGATTATTACCCAAAAATAAAATTACTATGAATATTATATTCTTCAGGTAACCACTGTAAAAATCTAAGCGATCAATAACTATGTTTTAAGAAGCACAAAATACGTCAAACCCTATATGAAAATTACTAGAAAAAAGTAAACTCAAAAGAAACAAAAACAACACGTTGATAAGGATTTTATCACGTTTCTTATTCAACAATTGCGACAAATTGCCATCAGATCTCTTGTCGGTTATCAGTCTGACCAACCCAGGAAAAAACATTTCCAAAAATAAAATTACTAATATTTATAAAACCCCCATTGCAGTAGACCTGCATACATAGTGAATTTCAAATGCTTAGATAATTAATTTAAATTAAGCTCAATGTCAAGTTTTGTCAACATATGTTCATAAATAATCATGCATACAAATTCGCAATACGAATAACATGAGAAATGAGTATGTAGGTTTGCTGCAATGTAAATGTAAAATATTAATATTTTATACCTAGTCATTATCAAGTAGCTCAACTAGGTGAAACCACATACCAAGTTGTATTAACATACGTTAAAAATTAACTGAGATATAGAATGTTGTTTTTCCCATAAGGAGAGTGTTCTGTGTTTACTACTTTCAATATCTCGGTAACCAATATACATAGAGTGATGATTCAAAATACTAAAATGTTCATCTTTTAAAGCTGGATTCAACGGTGGAAAGTAAATTTAGATTATTTTAATTTTTCCAAATGATAAATGCAAAAATCCCATTTTGTGGGGCGTAAAAAATTAATATTTTCGTAAAATACAAAGAAACCGTTGGTTTAAACCGCTAAAGGTGTAATGACATTTTTTATAGATAATGATTAGACCTTTCAAATAAGATGTCATACGTCAAAATCGGTTACGCGGTTTTGCGAGATATGCGCCATTATTATTATTGGCTGAGCGGCCATTTTGATGACGTCAATGCCCGTTACCTAATTATTTTTAAAGCTTGCCTCCCGGCTGATTTTCACTCTTTTACATGTATTTAGTCGATTCCCAAAGTATGGTGCTGGTCTCCGGAAGTGAAAGATTACTAGGTAATATGTTGCTTGTTCCACGCACTATTTTTATCAAAGTCAAAGTCATCTTTATTGTCACAAAACGTTTTTTTTTAAATGCTCTGGCACAGCCAGACAAAACAGGTGACATTGTCAAACTATACTAAAATAAACTAGTTTATATTGGTAAAAATAAATACATAGTAGGTAACAAAACAAAGTGAAAGTTAATCTTGTAAAATATGTTGTAAAAAGCAATATCACTTTATTATTAACAAATTTTCAAATTTAGTTTGATAACAAAAGAAACTATTGTCAAAACTTACTTAAGATCAGATATGTCACTTCTCATTAAATTGATGACACTGGAGCTGAAGACAAAACTTGAGAATACCGTAAACATGCCTGCGATACCTGAAACAAGAATGATTATGATATTTCAATTAAATCATCATATTGATGGATTAAAAAAAAAAATTTTTACGATGTTTAAAAATTATTACAGTAGACCCCCTCTTAACCGACCCTAATGGGGACCCGGACCTAGGTCGGATAACTCAAAAGGTCGGTTTAAATCGGACAATCCCTAAAATCATAACACAATTAAGTGTATTAATTTCGAATTATATAATCATTATTTTGAAGTCATACTTCTATTATTTATAAAATAAACTACTCTTATCTCCTTTTTTTCCTATTGCTAGAAAAAGTCATAAATAAACACTAAACACCGTTAAGTCAAATAGACCTACTTTAAGTGGAATAGATTATAGTACTAGGCAAGAGTCAATAAAAAATCCCTCTTTTAATAACTTTAGTACTCTAATGTATTAATTGATGGTTTCCAAATCCATCTTAATACAGCAAAGAACCTTTTGTCGAAATTAAAGGTACAAGCAACCATTTTGTTACAAGACAGGATGTTTATTTATAGCCTCTCATTGGGCGCTCCAGGCACAAAAACTATCTTGACCTTGGAGTTGTTAACTCCCCTTCCCTGCCCTCCCTACAAGTTGCATTGTTTGTTTACTCTAGCGATAAGTTCTCAAAATCGTAATGCACTTTACGATTTTATAAATTTGCCGCACAGATAACAAGTCCGATCAGGATGTGCTCGAGCTATAAACGATGATGACAAACTGACAATAGGCTATGCTATATTTTTTGTGATCAATGCAAAATAATTTATTCTTAGTCACATCCTGTGGAGATAAGCGTATGGTTCGGTTCTCATCGCCCAACGTGGGAGCGGAAATGCCGAGATTCCTAGAAAGCGGCGGTTAAGCCAAACTGCTCTCAAAGCAAGGTCGGTTAAAACAAACTGTGATATTTTACGATGGAAGGCGGATAATCCGATTATCGGTTAATACGAGGTCGGTTAAGAGGGGGTCTACTGTATATGCATTCTATAGAGTAAGATCTTTAATATTTATCTTAATTTTTTATCACACTTTCTCCCATTAGCCTATCAACAACCCTTAGAATTGGCAAGGGGTGGGAGTAACTATGATATTTTATGGGTAAAATCCCCTATAACTTTTGAACATTAATTTTTACAGCATTCTGGTTTGTACAATTTTTTTAGAATTTAAAGGACCATAACATACTTAATTCAAATCAAAACTGTCTTGAGAAATTTATGTGAAAATCCACTATTTTATGTGTTGTTAAGAAAATTACCATTAAATATTCAAATTAAAAATTCTTGGAGATACCATATGGATTATTACCACAAAACCAAAATTTGGTCAAAATCAGACCACATGTATAGTTTGTAGCTCTGTACACATCCACACATATAGACGTCACTTCAAAAACCACCTGAACCCAAAACAATTTACATCCAAAGCTCAAACTCGAAAATTTTGACAAAAACAATACTTTCTCCATACTATGTATAGGGGGAGAAAGTAAAAACTGCTTAGTTGTAGCCAACATGCTGCAACCTGAGAGTCAAGTTTACAACTACTATATTTGGGCTTTTTGTTGACCAGAGTTGCAATTATGGTAGACAATGGTGTCTGATCAATGGTTACACGGAGACAACATCGTAGATTGAGGGTTCGATTCCCGTTTAGGTCAGATGTGCAACTCATGTAACCTGTCTGTGAGCTAACTAAAATACATGGACACTAGCTGCAAGTTCTGCATGGGTGGATTCCTTATGGATTGCACTACTGATTTGCTACTTTTTACCTCTTTTACGGTGTATGCATCCACAAAAACATATTTTAAAAATCTGGATTTTTGTGTTCATTAGATTAGGGAAAATATCATACAAATGGTCATAATGAAATCACTGAGTAATACATGAAGCTTGAGTTTAAAAGGCATACAATACATTCTTGAAACGATTACACAATTTATGTCTGTGACAATAATAATGAGGCCAAAGGCTACGTTTCTCTCAATCTGATGACTTGATAATGAACTTGACTTTAAAGCAGATTTATTAAAATCACTGTAACTTTCAAGATCAACATGATTATAATACTGATATCATTTTGACAGGGGAGTGTGGATTGGTTACTAAGTTAATTGACAGTTGATTTCTTAATTAATAGAAGACTGAGTGCCATAAGGTAAAATGCAAAATTTAACCATTACTATTATGAAAAAACTTTAAGTGGTTTATAAAATACTAAAACAAATTCGGTTATTTTAATATTGTTTTAAGCATGTTAAAATGAACATAGTTTATAAATACTAATTGATGTTTATTTAATGTTTAATTTTGGCTATGGTTAATCTTATAGTTTTTTTAGTTAATGGTCGGCTTTAAGCTTTTATTTTTAGTTTTATTTTTGTTCTAGGACGCTAGGCACGAGCCCGGAATTGTTTTTCACATTACTTCAGGCTAGACCTAGGGGTTGCGGCATTATCACTTAGATAAAATCCATTGGTGATTTGGTGGGATTTGAACCCGGGACCCGCTCTAACCACTAGACCAGCTTGCTCCCCCTATTTATTTTTAGTACTCGTATGTGTAACACTGATGTAACTATTCATGTGTGTAAAGTAGTTACAAAATTAGAAATGTGTTACATCAGATAATATGTGTCTTAAGTTACTCCTATATTGAAACCGAGTTTGAACTTTGTCCTGTGGGGATTTAAACTTTGAAAACTAGCAATTTTAAATGTGTAAGAATTAATTTATTGATTGTGCCTGGCATCAGAAAGAAATTTAAGGTTTTGAAAATATTCTTTGAAATATCGTTTAAGATTTCAGAGCTTCCAAACAATTGAATATGATTAGGAAAAATGAAATTTTCACAATGAAAAATATCTTGCTTGAATCAGCAACTGGTTGTTGAACAACATTTAACAATCAGTCACGAAATGCATTACATATTGATTATTACTACGCCCATACAAATCATACACGAACCAACAACAAAGTTTTGATTTTGTTTGACAGTAGGGAAGTAATAAATAAACATAAGTGGGTAAATGTAATGTCAAACAGACAATAATGTAGGTCAATTTGAACGCCTGTGATTGGTCGAGACCTGGGTACACGGGCCCCCATATCACCCTTTGTAGGTCACGGACAAACACGTAACGTAGGTTATGTTGACCTAGGCCTTAGTGTTTTTGTTGATTTACAATGTGTAGACTTTGTGATACGAAACACAAACACAGAATAATTTACCAGCGTTTTACATTTTAGTTGATGCTCTTTAACATCCAATACAGGATGTTTACCTAGGCTATAGTAGTGTTTTTGTGTAATACGATGCGTGTAATATTCACAAACAGAGAATAATTAAACCAAATTTAAAGTTTTAGATGGCAATGTTTATTTTTGTTAGTGTTTATCCTTGGACTATATATTTTGGTTTAATGGGTTTTACGCCAATGAAATTGTTTATAAGGAAAAGCTACAAACCCTGGTCTTGTTACCATCTAACAAAGATGGTTTAATGGCAAGCATCATTATTGATAGGCCAATGACAAATTGAATCTGGGTCCAGAATTGATCTTGCTGGAATCAAACCAGTGACCTTCACATTTGAAGGCGAGTACTACAACCACTCAGATTGAAAATGTATTTATTATTCATAAAATTAAAAGTAAAATTTATTGATAATTAAAAATATTAAATAGAATATAGAATATAGATAAAGTAACACGATAGATGACAACAAACAAATGTTTGATACAAACAAAAAAAAGTCTTTTAAAAATGATTCTTCAATATCAAAAAGCTTTAAGTCAAAGTTAAATCCTTATTTACAGTACTTTGAAGTGTGCTTTTAACTTGATAAAAAAAAGTGTATGGCAAAAGGTACAGAAATTGCAATGTTGTACATTACACTAATTTTATTCATTAAGTAAACGTTTATTAATGTCAGTTTGATATGAAAAAAATAAAAATAGAAAAAATACTACATTACCTACTAATTTACTACTGCAGATATTTAAGGAAGTACAGCATGTAGTATTGACTTATACTAAACTGCTATTTATTTCCAAACAATGACTCTTAACTACTTCTAGAACTAAGTTCTAGAACTATAAAATAAACTCATTGCAAACATTGTTAAAATACAAATTTAATTTAGCATGGTTAATCAACAAGAAATTTACAATCACCAGGATAATGCAAATGTATAAAAACAATACAGTACCTTGATAACAAGTGTCACATGGAGATTATCAAGTAAGACTTGTTATCAAGGTTGACTTCTTATCTAAGTTTGCAATAACATGTAATCAAGGGCTGGCATTTTTAAACAACACTTGATATGAAGCGTTACTTATGTTGAGGTTACACTGTTTTTGTTTTGGCTGGTGATGTTTCGCGACCTGGAGCCAGGAAGTTTTTTATTGCATAACAAACACAGGTTATCCAACCCAAGAGAAATGTATCAGGGGCGGGGAGAGAGAGTTATAGAGAAAGTACAGAAAGCCGCATGTTATAATCAGCTGTTCACTGCTCACCTATGTTTTAACAGGTGTTAGTCAAACAGGTGATTGATATATTAGGTGTTTGAATAAATATTTGATTATGCTCATACATAAGTTACAACAGTATTCTAAATTTTATTTTTATAAAGAAGAAATGGTTTCTGTAAGTGTCAGTATACATGTTCTGGATGAACCAAAAACTACAAAAAAGATTGGGCTAAATTAAAATTCTTTTGAAGACCTCATTCAAAATTTTAAATCCCCATCACGAAAGTGATTTTTCAAAAGAACATACATTTCCTTTTAATTTTTCTCATATTTATTTATGTGGAATGAAATTGTCTGTCACTCAAATATTTTGACAACTTTTCTCCAAATTCTTAATTTTTGGAGAATAACAAGAGCATTTTTTATAATTTACTCAATCTAATCCTAATCTAATGTTACGTTTGTAGTCATTGTTTTTCTGAGTAATAAACTATTTTCTTTCTTTTATTGAAC